GATGTGACTAACAACAGTAAAGGAAAGAGAGAGAAAAATAGGTTATCTTACCCCCATGTAATCATAATCAATTTCGATTATCTTTAAAAAATCATTTTTATTGCAAACAACCAAAGTGAAGTCTGAAATATTATATCACACGTATCTCTTATGACCTAACACTACTAAGACTCTGAGCTCTTTCTTATATGTTAACATTTCCCTGGTTCCTCGAAAAATGACATAAGTGAAATTCACAGAACTCATTACCATCTACTTCATAAGGGTATTGTGAAAATGCCCATTAACATTTATAGAGTGCTTTGAGCTCCACAAAAGAAAGACATTACCTAAGAACAAAGTAAATACTTTTAAAAGCAACATTTAAGTGATTTAACTGTGAATGAATCAAACACAGATGGGTTACCTTTATGTAAATAGAAGAATGAAATTAAGCAATGAAGTTACTGGCAAACAATTTCTTGCTTTAGGTTTTATGAATTGGAACTACTTTAAACATGGGTTGAAATTCCATAAACCTAATATGGGGACATTTGCCAATTTTTGATACTATAAATAAATATTCTTTTATGAGGATTCAAGAGAATTATTCAAGAATTATTCATATTTCTAATAATGATCCCACATTTCTCAAGAGAAACTCATGTTAAAGAGGTATTTATTTCAAATCAAAAGAAATTATTGCTTTGTTTTTATAAAATGCTGATTACAAAGATAAGTTTCATTTTCCACTGATTCAACTGATATTTGATTACAGATAATGTTAGACTTTATTGCATCTATTAGAAATGCAACAAATATTTATGATTGAATAATATTTTGGAGTATAAAATGCTGAAATAAGAAATTATAGGTTGGCTCAAATATCAGTGGAGTCAATGTCTAGCCTTGGAACCTCAACCATGACATTTAATAGGACTCTGAAGACTGAGAACATAGAGAAAATAGTGATTACAGAGTCTTAGCAAAATTCATCCTTAATGAGCCTTAAGCAGAGACTCAATTTGTGTTACCAAATCATCATGCTTTTTAAGTGAAAATTGTTTTATCTCGCCTTAATTGACAAAGCTAGGGTAAGACTAAAACTAAAGATTAATTATCTTGTATTAGTTTCTCCTGTTAACACTACTCAAAATTGTTTTAATATTTGAGAAATACAACTTTGGGAAAATATAGTTCTCAACTCACAGAAGTCAGTTTGATTCCTAATAATGTATGTCATTTGGCAATCACAAAGTTTCGGGGTTTTTATTCTTATGGTCATCCAGTGAGCAAGTTTGCTATCTTGTCTTTGAAAGCATTCACATAGGTGAATCCATAATCATACCTTAAGATAAAGGTGGAAAGTAAGAAAAACTTTTAAAACGTAGTTAGATATTAACCATTTGCCAAGCCTCAAACTTTGTGGACATGACCTTATTAAATCATAGTGGTCATATAGGGAAAGTATTACTACCACTTCACGGAAAGAGAAATAAAGTCTCTAAGAGTTTTAGTAGCTTGCTTCAGATTACACAGCAAGCAAGAGACAGGCCTAGAATTTTTTTTTTTTTTTTTTTTTTTTTTTTTTTTGCGACGGAGTTTCACTTGTTACCCAGGCTGGAGTGCAATGGCGCGATCTCTGCTCACAGCAACCTCCGCCTCCTGGGTTCAGGCAATTCTCCTGCCTCAGCCTCCTGAGTAGCTGGGATTACAGGCACGCGCCACCATGCCCAGCTAATTTTTTGTATCTTTAGTAGAGACAGGGTTTCACCATGTTGACCAGGATGGTCTCGATCTCTTCACCTCGTGATCCACCCGCCTCGGCCTCCCAAAGTGATGGGATTACAGGCTTGAGCCACCGCACCTGGCCAGACCTAGAATTTAAATCAAGATCTCTGTGGATCCAAATCGAATGCTGTTCTCCTTATATTCTACTTTCTAGTAAGATAAGCCATTTTGGTGGCTTTTCATAATAATAACTACAGCTGCAAAGATTCTCCTGGAAGTTATTACTTAGGTAGTTACTGGAGAGGCTGTGAATGTCAAGTGTTCTGCATAGCTTTTCAAGCACAAGAACCCCATTCAACATGTTCGCTGATTAACCTATTAAAAACTAGGAGTGATTTAATTTTAATTTGACAGGAATAAATAAATGGATCCCCTCTTATATGCAGAATTTTTCCTGATTGAGAGGGAAGCTCATCCTTTGTATAATGTTTGCTTATTTCTTTGAGATATGTTAGAAGAAGTAAAAGTGAATTAGAAAAAAAATCTAGTAAATTCACAAAATACTTAGATCAGTAGTATTAACATAGAACATCAATAAGAACAAAATAGTTCTAAGACCTAAGGTTAACCAGCCAGACATCTGCCAGAGAGTGGCAGATCCTAGATGTCAGCCATGGTAGCATTAATTCCCAAGCTGTGTGCTTGATTTCTGTACTAACTTAATTTAAATAAAAGTTTCTAATGTAAGATTTAATTGAAAGTGATAACAGCAGTCTTTACACCAAACCAAATAGAAATTAAAAATAAAGGCCAACAAAATAGGTGGTATGTCTTCTGATAAGTATCTCTTAGTACTTGTGAAGTTGTGTATTGCAGAGTCTACTTCAAGAACTCATGCTGAAATTTTGTATTATGATAGTTCTGACAGTACTATTCTTAATTTTTGGGTGAGAAGACTGAGGCCCAGAAATTTCTCATTACCTATCTGCTATAATTTGAGACTCCAATAAAAACTTTTCCCATTTTATTTTCTTTGATAACATTTATTATTTATGACTGGTTATTTTTTATCCTATACTATCTATTTTTTATTGGGAAAGAAGTATAGATATTGTTTTCTTTTTTGTCTTTATAAGCAATCAAGGAATCAGTTTTCTAATGCTAAGTTAATAAGAAAAATGAAGGAAATTTAGAAGTTTGTATTGAAACTTTAATAGTTTTAGGTATTATGGCTCTAATTCATGAAAGTATAAAAATGTATGTTTCATAATTTATTTCTCATTATATCCAATTAACTCTTTTGCTATGATACTTCTTTTTGTTTTTTGAGATGGAGTAGTGCCCTGACAGCAGGCTAGAGTGCAGTGATACAGTCTCAGCTCACTGCAACCTCCACCTTCCTGGGTTCAAGCGATTCTTCCACCTCAGCCTCCTGAGTAGCTGGGACCACGGGCACGTACCACAACACCTGGCTAATTTTTGTATTTTTAGTAGAGACAAGGTTTCACCATGTTGGTCAGGATGGTCTTGATCTCTTGACTTCCTGATCTGCTGGCCTTGGCCTCCCAAAGTGCTGAGATTACAGGCATGAGCCAACAAGCCCAGCCTGCTCTGATATTTTCATGTAATTCATAGCTATAGGCTATAATTCAGCAAGAAATAATAAATAAATAGATAAGCATTTGATTACTTGTCTATATACAACTATAGACTATTGTATGTTAGAGGAGAGTAGACAGGGAAAATTTTATTTAAAAATTGTGGCTCACGCCTGTAATCCCAGCACTTTGGGAGGCCGAGGCGGGTGGATCAGGAGGTCAAGAGATCGAGACCATCCTGGTCAACATGGTGAAACCCCGTCTCTACTAAAAATACAAAAAGAAATTAGCTGGGCATGGTGGTGCGCGCCTGTAATCCCAACTACTCAGGAGGCTGAAGCGGGAGAATTGCCTGAACCCAGGAGGTGAAAGTTGTGGTGAGCCAAGATCGCGCCATTACACTCCAGACTGGGTAACAAGAGCGAAACTCCGTCTCAAAAAAAAAAAATTGTTCCAGATAATCTTCAGGTAAAAATGGGATTTTAGGAGCTACTAAATATATCAAATAATGATATCATAAAAGATGTACAAGAAATACATTCTTTATAAATGTGAAAATCTAAAGAAAATTGAAAAAGCTATATGTTAATTTTTTCAGGCAAGATAGCAAAGGCTAAAAGAGAAAAAAGGATTGAGAGAGAAAAAGTTTAGATGGCAGAGAAATCCATGGTATAGGACTTTGAAACAGTAATTTGTAATGTAATGAATAACTCTTGATAGAAATGATCTAGTTAAACCAATAGCCAAGAAATGTTTTCTGTTATTCAGAAGCAAAGTGAATTGGAATAGTGAGAAACATTAATTTAGTAAAGGAAATATTTTACTATTTCAGAAATTGAAGATAAGCAGGAATCACTCATTTATTCATTCATTTAATAATATTCAAGTATGCCTCTGTTCCAGACATTGTTCTAAGTGCTGGGGTTATAGTGGTGAACAAAATAGACTGGCTAACAGAAAATTGTGACCCTTATGGAGGAAGAACTCTACTAAACCTCTACATAGATATGTGGAAGTGCTACAAAATGTAGTGGTTGGATCATTTCTTAATTCTTCCTGCGTCTATTTGATAAAATGTGTCCTTAATTCTTAAATCTATTCTTCTGAAATCAATGATTCTTATATTGATGTTGCTGCATCTTCAGTGTGAAAATTAATATTGCATTCTAGAAAAAAAAAGTAACAAATCAACCTAAAAGAAAACAAAAAGTCAGAATGCCAAGTTTAGGGATAATTCTGCATGAAAAGGAGAAGCATCAACTACTGAAAGTGATTTTTTGTTAGAATTCTCAAACAGTGATTTTTTTTTTTATTTGTTAGATTTCTCCAGCAGCTACAGATCTATTTCAGGCCTGTTTATGCTATTCAATAAAATCACACCACATCCATAATGATTAACTTGAACTCTGTAGATCAGAACAAATGGCCATTCTAGAAGAAAAGTAAAACCACTAAAGAGTAAAGTTGCAATGATTAATAAACTACGAATTCTTATAATGTTCTCACATTAGAAGACAATGTTTCTTTGAAAAAAATGTAAGAGGTATTCTCCGCAGTTTCTTGGTTTTCTATTTTAAGGCACTGAATCTTTGTGAAATGTGAGGTTTTGTGAACTTGCTTTGGATGTGGTTTTCTGAAAAGGCCAAGAAGAAATTCTAAACCCTTTTTGTGATATATTCTTGTTCCCATCAGTGACCTCTCATTGAGGAGAGAGGGAAGAAGGACGAACGAAAATGAGGTTTTCTCTGATGGCAAGTCAATTTAAGAGAACCCTCTGATCAATGAGTGTGCTTGGTTAAGGTAAGAGGTTTCTGGTTTATTTTAAGGTGAAAAAAAGGTCAATACATCCTTGATGGCTTGTAGTCTTTGAAAGTGGGGATACATGTTTTCAACAAGGCATCAGATAGTTAAGCTTGATTTTGCATAAGGACTTTATCTGTGGAGTATAAAAATATCCTTAGTTAACTTAATGGCAAAAAGAGAAGTGAAACTCAAAAGTTGTATTTGACAAAATTCATTAGAAAAGACATATTAGTGAACATTATCTTACTAGACAAAAGTTGACTTCAATTAATGGCTAATATTTTAAAAAATATGTATGACATTGTTTTTTAATTGAACCAGTGAAGACACTGATGTTGAAACTATGTTCAATTCTAAGATTTATAAACCTTAATTTCTCCTTTCTCCCCGATTTAGAAGACATAACATGAAGTATATTTGACAATGAATTTTTTATAAGACACAAAAGGCAAAGAAAAATAAATGGAATATTCTATTCTATTTCACCCAAGAAACCAAATTTCCAGTTAGATTCAATATAGTGAGGGGTGTGCAAACATCTGAGCTAAGAGATTGTCATGTCCCTATCAACGACAACTGCTTGTGGGACCGAAATTGTTTAAGAAATCTGACGACATTAATGATTTCCAACATTCCTTGTATAGGATGCAATGAGCTCATACTTTCCTTTGTTCATTATGTTTTACAAACAGCTAAATGAGTAACAGCACTAATTTGCTTTAATATAGTCCTTCATATCAAAGTATCTTAAAGTGTTTTTGCAAAGAAATTGCACAGGATCCAGTAATGCATATGCTGTGTTGTTAATCACATTGCAAAGTGAAGATATAAAGAGCTTAAGTAGCTCTTCCTAGATCTATGGAAAAAAATCATTCAAAGATTCATGAATTAATTGTAGGAATCCTGGCTCCTAGTTCATTGATCCAAAGCTGGACCACATATTTATTAGATAGACATATTTGTCTTTAGGGGCTAACCAGAGGCATACAATTTTTTCAGCTCTAACTATCTCAGCTTAGTAATGAATAATAAAGAATTGCTAGGGAGGGCAAATTTCGAATGCTAGATTTGTAATAAGTTTGATTATGTTTTTCAAAATATTCTATACTTGGCAAAAACAAGATCTTTTGTGTCTATGTGTCTATCTCATCTTTTCTCAGTTTGTTTATTTATAATCTGCTTTGTTCCTAGAGGAATTTGCCTGTCAGTGAACAACAACACACCCATTCTTTGTCCTACTTAAAAATTTAAATTTGGATTTTAAAATATTTTAAAAATTGGTAAATAAAGAATAAACTACTGCTAAAAATGAAATCAGGACATTTTTTGGCCCTGTTCCATTTAAGAATAGAATCAAGGGTTCACTTGTGAACACTTCCCTTAGAAGAATCTTCTAAGAAGCAGCAGCAATGAACAAAGGAAAGTATGAGCTCATTGCATCCTATACAAGGAATGTTGGAAATCAGTGAGTAAGGGTCTCATATAAATATATGTGGATCCCCCAGTAGGATATTACACACACACACACACACACACACACACACACATTTTCATTGTGTGCCTTACATGAAAATCGTTTATTAGAATATTGTAATCGACTCATATACCTTAGCACATATAAATCTTATGAGATTAATACATCATCCTGTATTTTATAAAATCTAGAAAACTTTCTTTTAAAAACTACCGGACACTCTGCACTATTTGGAAGCAATTTGGAGTCAGTTCTAAATAATATCTCATGCCATGCTAAACATCTGTTCAGAACATACCCTTGTTGGTGTAAATGCTTAGTACTCAAAGGACCAGGTGGTCCTTTGAAAATGTTGGTATTTTTGTTTGAGAGGACATTAAAATAAATATTCTGGACTAAGTCAGTTTACCTCTTAAATTTTTTTTTCTTATTCTGTTTTCAGAATTTTCATGTTTCTAAAATGGGCCGGAGAACTGTCTTTTTCTTAAGCAAACTATACTCAACTCTAATTCAATCATTTGGTGAGGCCATTATACTTATTTATAAACAACAAATAATTTGGTAGAAATAGCTAGATTCCACCTAAGTTTTTCGAGAATATTAATTTAGACTATTTTACACTTTTGCACTGCAGCATTTCCTAATTTAATACAAGGATTTCTTGTTTGCCTATCATGTGAACTGTGGCAGGGGGTACAAAAGATACATAGCACATAGTTTCTATCCCCAGAGAATCTAAAGTTTGGGAACAAACAGCACCTAGGAGGGAAGGTTGCACTTCCACCACGTGGAAAGTTGCAATCCGAGAATGGTACATTCAATAGACCCAGTTAAGGGTAAAGTCATAAAGCAAATTTCATCCAGAAGGTATCTATGGCTATACTATGCAGATGGAAAATATAAACAAATGTATAAAGAAACCATTTAAATTAGCTAAAATGTGCAAGCAAAATGTTCTAATTGAGATTTGTTAAAAATTATTTCATTCATTCAAAAATATTGGTGTCTTTAATGTGTTGGATACTATTCTAGGATATTATCCTGAATGGCAGATGTGTCCCGCCTTTAGGGAGCATGTAGTTTCATAGAGGTGGGAAGATGGATATTCTAAGAGTTTCTCTTTAGTTACAGTATTAATCATTGAAATGAAGGAAACGTACAGGAGTTTGTGAGTGTGTATGTTAAGGACATTTAAGTTAGTATGGTGAATTATGGAAAACTTCACTGATATTGCCACATTTAGGATGAGATGGACAAAAGAGAAAGATAAGCACTTCACCTGGAGGAGAAGAGCAGGAAATGAGGCTGGTAAAGCAAATAACGAGGCAGACTGCAATACTTAGTCATTATGCAAAGGACGATGAGAAACGAGAGAAAAGTTTTGATCAGGAGAATCAGATAATTCAAAACAATTTTGTTTGATAATGGGTTATAGTGACTAAGACTGAACATTTAAGAGACAATTTCAGTAGTCAAGGAGAAAGACAATGATGGCTTGTATTAGGGGCCTTCTGATATGGTTTCTTGGATGTTATTTTTCACTCATATTTTCAGTATCAGATTCTAAAACATGGTGGAACACACTTGTTTAATACCAAATGCAATCTCCTGAGGAGATCTAAATAGGAAGCCCATATATTAGTCAAATATGTAATCAGTGTGTATTGATTGTGGGTCTGCAGAGTGTCCTGCCTGTGTGTATGCTTTTATAATGGTCCAGGTGGTGCCTAAAGATTTCATGAATTGAATCCCAAGGAGCCAGATAATGATCATGTTTCCTAAGGAGGAAGATGATATTAACATATCACCATGAGCTGTGAACATTTGCAGTAAGACCAATCTTTCCAAATTAAACAATGCATCTCTTTGTATTTCTAATGCTGGTAATAAAGCTTTCACTTTAAACTAGAATGTGTATGTGTTGATCTGAAAGAGACAACTTACATCTTTTATTTTACATCACAAAACATGCAAAGTTTGTGTAATATTCCAACTTTGTTTTAATTATTTAATGTAACTGCACTCTCTTCTAGAAGATTATTTAACAATGTAATAGAATGTTTCAAATAAAAATGTTCTATTTCTTATGAGAAATTCTTCCATTTAAAGCAAATTTCAGATCATTGCAAATATCTCATTCTTAGTTTACCAAACAATATTAAATTTATTAGAGAACAGTTTAACTGTAGCAACAATATAAATTAACACTGCTCCTCCCCTTCATTCATCTTGGAATAAGATAATGAGGCAAGACTACTTTAGTAGAGATATCACTTTTCACTGAATAACTCATCTGTGAATAGCCCCAGATTGCAAAAATTACAGCATCATTTAAGCTTTATTTATGGTTAGTGTGAGGTTAAAACTGTGGTAATATTTTATAGTGCATGGAAAAACTAATCACAGCAGCATATTTATGGAAGTGGATTAAGATGATTCATCTATTAAAAAAGATAACTGAACCTATTGACTAATAGTAATTTAGGTCGACTAATATTATTTTTAAACTTAGGTGAACACTACATATTAAATCAGATAATTTCTAGAGCTATCTAATCCATCTCATATCTGCTGCTGAGCTCTTACTGTGTAGCTCTGGTACCTCTATTCTGTATTGAAACATAAATGTCCATAATTATTAAATAACATCGATAAATCTTACAATGTAATATGTTTCCAGTTTCAAATGTCACCTTTTCTATAGGATGTTTTTTTGTGTGAACAATCTGCTGTAGTTGGTAGCAAATAATTAAAATGGCATCAACTATAAATACAAAACAGCATCAACTATAAAGGTTGGGAACATAGAAATATAAAAGATACAGAATAAGATACATTAAACATTCATAGAAATTAAAAGCAAATTCACAGACTCTTGTAAGGTTTAATTAATTTGTCACATACACAGAAAAACTCTTGAAAAAAAAATTTTTTTTTCATTTATCTCCCTAGAGTCCTGTTCTTTACAGTACGAGTAGCTGCCCTTGCTCAATCTCTTTTTGCCTTCCACTAATTAAAGCAAAAACCAAACAAAAATTAAAATATGGTAAAAAAACAACTATGATGATGTATCATGCACTGAAGAAATTAAACCATAAACAAAATTAAACTGTAAACAAAAAATAAATAATGTTCTGTTGCTGCTTATTATTTGGAATAATAACATCTTGAGGCTCATTTGTAAGAAAAAGAAACTAATTGAATTAACTTAAGAAAAGCATGTATTCCTACCTTACTGATGTATTTAGGATTCAATAGTAAGAGTTTGGACATTATTCTGAAGCCTGAAATAGTCAGCAAGTTATAGACAGTAGAATAATGGTATGAGATTGATGTTTCAGTTGTTTTTAAATTTAATAAATGACTATACTTTGTTTTGTAATCACACAAATGAATAACCACTATAAATAATTTTGAAAATATAACTCAGAAGAAAACAAAAAGACAAAACAGAATGAAAAGAAACAAAATGACAATATTAAAAGAAACCCTGTGATTAGCTATTTTCTGCCTAATGCTCTGA